CCCCCCCCCCCGCCCCCCCTCCCCCTGCCCCGCGACATGAAGAAACAAAAGCTTCGAGCATTGCAAGCCACAGTCATACGCCCTGACCCACACTTGTCCTGCCTGGAGAACGCAGCTCTCATCCGAGGCAGAAGCAGCGGCTAAGCCAACCACCCACAGAAGCACCTGCCAGGGATGATCTCACATTCATAATTTGGGCATTGAACATAAAGCTAGTGTATAGCATTTTCAAGGGGATGACAATGAAGATTAGATGGCGAAGGGGATGTTGGAAGCATAATGACGGCTCAAACAAAGGCAACACCAAAACCACGAACAAGCGTAATCTGAATTACCACAACAGTTGCCAAATGTGGTGATTATACCACTATGTGGAACGGCAGCAGCAGCAGCAACAACAACAAAAACAACAGCAGCAGCAACAACAACAAGTTGCCCCACCACCAACAACAACAACAACAACTACTACTACTACTACTACTACTACAGCAGATGACATCATCCATGAAGATGATGCTGGTGCACGGCAATCGCAATGACGATGCTCATGATGTTTACACTGATGATGACGGTGATGCCGACCGTCAGTCCAAGGATGATCAAACCTATCCAACCATAGTTAGAAGTCTTGTTCTACTAGCCGTACAATGTAAACAAAACAACAAGTGAGTATAACAACAGTGACATCAACACTACTGGCTATTGCATCATCCCCGTCCTCAGAGAAAAAAAAGGCAGCGCCCCTCCTGGGCTGGTGTCATCTAAACATTGGGGCCAAGTACACCTAATCAAGGCCTTCAGTCGCCAGAGGCTGCAAGGCCTCATCCCCTATATAACCCTTGAATAATCCCTAGAAAATCCGCTATGTAACCCCCTTTTAAGGAATTTTGTTTCAAACATGGTTGCCTGGAGCGGGACCATGGTGGCCGTATAAGAGATTAAACCACGCCACCAAAGGCGCCTACCTTTGCATCAATGCCACCTTCATGACCACCACTAGCAGCCACACCACCGCCACCATCCACCTTACCACCATGCCCGCCACCACCGCAAACGGCAAACAAAAAGACATACTGCCAACAATGACTACAAGAGCGATAACTGCGGGAGCAACATCAACAATATCTAGTAGCAAGGAGCAGCTAATCAGCGAATCCAACATACTTTTTGCGGATGCACCTGGCCTTGGCAATCATGGTATAAACGATCCGGGTATGTCACCAAATGGGCTACCTCTGAAAGCCAAATGGCTTCCCCAAGAAGCATTGCAAAAGAAGAAGCTGCCCTGCAAATGCACGCCCCACACTGGTTCGTGCACTGTTCTTCCCATGAACGCTGGCATGAAAACTGCTGAGATTTCCAAGAAAACCTATGCTCTCCCACTTCACTCAAATAGAATTGCCTGCCAACACAAATTGAAATCCTTTCCAAAACCAATGAGTCTCCTACCGCACTTACCCCTTTACATGCCATATCTCAGAAAATTCTGTGGATTTTCATGGGAACTGCGCGGATTTGAAGACTTCCCACATGGAGACGCTCCTTCATAATCCTCGTTGCAGCATGACATACGGATTGTGGCCCATGTGTTAGTACAGCCCAGCACTCTTTATGGCAGTTGGTGTTTCAACATTTGCTGAACTAATCGGAAACGACCCAAACTCATTCAAAACCCATTAAGGTCATCAACTTGATACGTTTACTCAGTCATTCGGAATGTATATATACACAGAGAAATCAGCTCACACAGCCACATTCCCAAAAATACACGGAAACATAAATGCTGAGCAGAAAATTGCGCTCCAGTTTTACAGCAAATGGCAGACATAGGGACATCTATGTTGAGTCTCATGCAAGGTTACCGAGCAAATGTTTCACAACCCGCACTGATAGCTCGGACTTGCTGGAAGGAGTGCCATCAACACGGCGTCGCATATCCAACGACTATACTATACCCCGATGAAGAATCATCCGTCGTTCTACCCAGAATTATTGTGCTTGCAACTGCTCAACATGTTCAACTGATACAACTTGATCACAATAACGCTCATCCTTTTTCTCAAGTGTTTGAACAGCTGCATGTCATGGCTAGCTGCCAAGTGGTCGACTCTTTTGTGTGTGTGTGCGGGGGGCGATTGCTTAACCAGCCACACAAACAGTGTCCCAGTAGGCACGACGAGGCTTGGCTCGTTGGCGACCACACAATTAGCATGGAAGCGCCTCTTGGACGGAAACGAATTCCATGCCCCGTCATGACAAATCAGTGATGGGCCAAGACCCTCAAAAAGGGCAGCACGCATGGGAAGCAAGTAACTCCTAGATGATCAAAAAAATGCATCTGAGCAGGAAAGGTTACCCGCTATGAAAGTTGTATGTCACAGATGCGTGGCGCACGATAGGGAACTTGTGCCCCATCATGCCACAGGTTGGTTACCAAGCTGAATGCGACAAGGTGAGGGCACACCGTGCCAAACATTTTCTTGGATGCCTAAATTGCAAATGCAAAAAGCTGCAGTGAGGCAGGTCCCCCGGGCTTAGGGTGTGGAGGGTGGGTTGCCTTTTTGAACATAATGCCAACATGTTGCACGACCAGATTCTGGTAAAACATACATAAACAAGTTCAAAAAAAGTTCTGCCCATAAGAGTTGTGCTCGCATCTGCTCGATATGTTGAAACCATATTCAAGAATCTTTCCAAACAGAAAAATTGAAATAACTTGATCACATTAACTCTCATCCTTTTTCCCAAGTGTTTGAACATCTGCGTGTCATGGCTCGCTGCCAAGCGGTCGGCTTCTTTCTGTAGGGCCACCGTTTCACCCCAAATCTATCATTTCACCCGTCGACAGTGGCGCTACACCTACACCTAAAACATCTTATAATATGCTACAAAGTTTGTGTTGAAATCAACCCTGAAGAGCCTCCTAAAGCGACCCTGCTCGGGAGACCATTGGGCACTTGAGCAAACATTGCACCCCCAAAAAAACAATCCCGACCCTATGCCACTTGGAAGCTTGCCACTTGGCACTTCTGGCTGCTGGCAGCACAAGCGCACGTCAGGTCGTTTATGGCTCTCAACCTTGGATGCATCAAGCCAGAGACCAAGCTGAATTGGAGGTGTTGAACTTTAGCTTCAATCTTTCCTTGCTCAATCAGGTGCAGAGATTTGACTCTTCGCGCTTTTTAGCCACGGCTGCCTTTGACCTGCTCATCCTTGAACCTGTAGATGTCCAGCGTCTGCTGTAGCCATAGGACGCAGAACCCATGGGAACGAGGCTTGGCGCAGGGGCGCCTGAACACGGGTCGTATCCTGCTTCGCTGGATGGAGACCACAGGGCAGAAAGCAGAGGCATCCGAACTATTTGCCGCCGGGACTCACCGGCAAGAGTTATCGCCCGTCAAGAAGTCATATGAGCAGCAGAACAGCAGCATTGTGCCGCCAACACATGATTTGCACTCAAAAGCACCGAAGACAGTAGGTCCGAAAACACATCCGAGTGCATCAGCCCCTTTCTTCCTCCAGCCCTTTGCGATGGCGCCAACTGCGATGCCGAACTTGCAGCCAAAGGTATCAGCAGCTTTGCAACTAACGCTCACTGATACGCCGACTCCAAGCCAAGACCAAGCCGTCACAGAACCTGGCAGAGAACAATTCTTCACGCGGGTGCATTCATCTTCTGACCTGCGAAACCTGCGAATGGCACCTGTTCTGTCCATGCACACAAAGATCTAACCTAGACCCCAATCTCCCAAGCCCGTCCTGCAGCAGCTCCTATTTTCAATGCCATGCTGACCGACGGTGGTTTCCCCTTGAGGATGCTTTGGAGACCGTACTGGGCTCCACCTTGGTTCTGTTCTGGAGTTTCAGGTTTGCAAAGCTGTTGTCATTGACAGGGTTTAGCGGTCTAAACAGCCCTAAGAGGATTTTGCAAGAGTGGGTTTGCAAGCCCAGCTCTGGCATCTACTTGGCTGTTAGCGATGGAGTTCTGATTACATTTAGCCGTTGAAAGCCCCTGACAGCTCACTATCCACAACCCCAGGCCCCTGGGAAGTTGCTCAACTTCTGAGCTCGGGCACAGATAGTCTACTTGGGAGTGCATTTCTTAGATTATGCTCGCTCTTGCTGTAGACAAGGGTTGAATATACATGTCTATGTATACATACATGATATGATCATGTTCAGTATGATTTTGCATATATGTATATAGGTTTGTTTACACACCCCGCTCCTTGCTGCTTAACCTGAAATATTGTTATCGTTTTGTGTTCCTCTTGCCGTTTTCTGGGTTCTGGACCATATTGTTTTGGTTTCTTGTTTTTCTTATGATCCTTTTCCAAGTCCTCTTGCGCGGGTTCATTATACAACCCCGCACGAGTAAGAGAATGTCTGCTGCCTGAACGATAAAGGGCTGCGGCTGTGAGACCCGGTCTGAAAACCTTGGGATGGGGCCAATCTACGCTGTGAAATATTCGTTACGCTAAAGTCCCACAAAGGCGGTCCTGAAAAACCCTGTAACATGTGTACTTATCTCTATTTATCTATCGATCTATCTGTCACTCTCTCTCTCTCTCTTTCAAAGACCCTGGAGGGTTCGGTATCGTAGAAGATGAAGCTGACCCTAAGACCCAGGCCCTGTGGAATGTAGCTTTGGAATGATGCTACAAGCTTCTTCCAACAATGAGCTCTACTCTACTCACCCCATCCATTGGTCACATGACAACAGCTTTGCGGCGGTGAGACCGATAAGGGCCCTCCAAAGGGGGTGCAGGGTGTAACAGGAACAGGCCTGGTGCTCAACCTAAGGAATGCATACCATAGGGTTCGAGGCCAGGATGAAGTCTTAGGGAGGATTGAAATGCTGGATTTCGAACTAGATGCTCACTGAATCGAAGCTTTGCTACAAGCCCTCTTGTTCATCATTCGATGTCGCCAGCATGGCCCACGTCATCATCATCCTCATTACCGGCATCAGCAAAAACAACATGCGATTGATCATCACTATTCTCATCGCTCGGGCAGCTCAACCACTATCGCAACCATCATCAGCTCCATCATGATCTATCGATCATCATGCATCATACCTGCGTCATCATCCTAATCATCATCATCATCAACAACATCATCATCACCATCATCATCATCATCATCAGCCGCATCAGCAGCATCATCACCATCATGATCATCGATGAGGAGTCAATCAGGGCATCATGTGCGCAGGTTTCGGTGCACAGCCGGCTAAGACGATAACACAACGGTCTACATAGTTACCTGCATCATGGCCAGGAACCCAGGACAATAAAACACTGCAGTATTTAACTTAAGCTTCTACAATGACTCGCAGTTCTTAAACAGTCCGCTTTCAGCAAAAAATCAAAAGAAACTCTTTCAAGCATCATCCTCCCTCTACAGTTGCCGCGCCTTTCAGCCCAAACCCCCACAACGCGGGAGCCTGACTACTTACTCACATCATTCACTCATGTCTCCTGAAATTAACTATAACCCATGCCAAAACCATACACACTACATTATTCTCTGTTGAGGTTTCCCGCTGTCGCATGGAGAGTGCTCGCAGCGTGGAGCATCCTCGCCACATCTTCCGAAGTCGTGGTGCTCCGCGGAGCATGCTCATTTTATTGGCTGGGAACTGTGCTCTCACATGAAATGTCCTCGCCAGTTTGCCCGAAATCGTGCTCTCGCGCGGAGCGTTGTCACATAGACTGAAACAAATCACAAGCGCTCGTTTCTGATATGTGCCGGGCGGTTTCCGCGTCATGGGGCGGGTGATTCCGGTGTCGCGTCGGGGAGATTCTTGAAACGTGTTCCAGCCTGGCTACTGTCACGACACTCCTGGTACCCCCCGGTTCACGTCACGTCGTTTACCGGCTTCACATCTTCACGTGTCTTTTCCTGGCTGAGCCTCTACCCACGTGTGCTGCAATGTTGCTAGCTTGTCAGCACTCCTCAAGACTTACTGGTCAAGTTGGGTTTTTGTGAACTCTCGAGCTATCTCTAGATTGCACATACCTTGTTTGGGGTCCGAAGGCTGTGGACGTGGTTATTTCAGATATGCTAGCGCTCTGTAAACGCACAAAAACATAGATTCGAGAACCCTGGCAGCCTAAGCACAAAACCAAGCCGCGAATTCCTTATGTCTACTTCATAAGCGTTTCTGAGAAGTAACCCGCCGAAGTCCCGAAATTCAAGCTCCCAACAACAAAGTGGTTTCTCTAAACTATGCGTCTCATTTTGCTCCTTGATCCAGGGACCTAATGATTGAGAGTGAATTTTGAAGACATGCATGGCATCCTAAGACCAAGGCCAGAAATTCCCACATTCACAGCCACGGTGGGCGGGTTAATGTCCCGGCTGTAGCCCGTGTTTGCAGTGACGGCGAACCTGGAGCCCGTTCTTGGGAGAATACGTGGCTTCCAAAGACAACAAAATAGGAACCCCTCGGTTGGTAGAACTCCGTTTCAAAGCCCTGCTTCATGATAGCTGCAGATTAGTGCTTACTAAGCGCGAACATCCTGAAGGCAGTATTGACAAAGCATGCAAGGCGAACAGTGCAAGTCACTTATGGACACCTCAAGCACTCCTGTCCTCAGAAGATCAGGGGCAAGACAAATAATACTCAAGGTGAATCTCGCAACTGTCCGAAGCATTGCAAGAGCTTCGTGACGAAGCTCGTAACGGCTTTGAAAACCTGCAGAGGGGGATTTGACAGACAGCAGGCTGGCTCGGATGGCCGTCCTTAGAATTCTTTGTTTCCCTTTCCCGCTCTCTCACTCTCTTTCTCAAAATCGCTTGCCTTCCCTTCTGGGTTCTGACCCCTTTTTTGCTTCTGCGCCGCTTTGCTAAGGGTATGGCGCAGAGCGCGGGCCATGCGGCCTCCCCCGTCTCGTTCTGTACGAAGTGGTTCTCTGATACAATGGGTTCTCTCAATAAGTTAGTCCCAACGGCGTCGAAGTAAATGATGAACTGTAGAGAAACCGGAGGAGACTAATGCCGTGGGTTACATTTATTTCAATTACCCTGAGTGAGACTGCGGAATTTCTGAGGTCCAATGGCATTGGTCAAGGCGGTACAGAACCCCTCTCTTTCTCTCTTTCTCACACGCTTTCGTCGTCTTCTGCGCCTACACCCTGCTGCTCATCCTCTCTCTTTTCCTGTACTCCTTTGTCGCTGCTGGGACTGCTACTCACGAAGATGCCTGCTCTTGGGCAATCTTCTTGCTACTGCGGGTACCATGCTGAATCCCATGTGTAAAGAGGCAAGCACCACACCCGTAACCTGTCTTGCTGCCTTACAAGTGCAGCACATCGTGAGAGATACCATTCCTTTCAGCATGCCCTGTCGTTCTTCTTCTTCTCCTGCACATCCTCTCCTATCTGTCTTGATGCTGCCACCAGTTCTTCTGCTTGTACCATTCCGATGGCTGCACTTGCAACCTTCCCTGATTTTGCAATCATACTTGGACCCGCGGCCATTATTCCAACCCTTGCTGCCCATGCCTGGATAAGCACTGGCTTCGCTACAACGGCTTACAGAGCATACTGGCCACCATGATAGGGACACACTCGACCACTCGACCAAGCCTCCTCGTGGAAATCATGAGTTGATCTGGCAAGGCCAGCTTTTCATGTAGTACTTTGTCTACTTCTATTTCCAGAACTTGGTCAAATCACCAGGTGCTTTACAAAGAGACTTTGGTGGGGTGTGCTTGAAGCCCATACTCCCTTCGTCAGATGCTGTTGAACAGAAGAAGCCTAAGACCGGCCTTCGTAAGCTTTAGCACCTTGTTTTTTGTACCGTTCCCTAGCTGCGACTTGCCTTCAGCCGCCCCAAGGCCCAGAACATTGAACCCCCAAACAGCCTCAACGCATAATACAAAACCCTGACCTTAACTGTGTGTGGTTTTGCCTTCACGAATGGCGATGCTAGTCTGCACCAGAAATTGCATCTCCGCACCTTAGATTTGACGTCCAAAGATTTGACAGTTTAGGGCCATGGCGTTATGGCTCGCAGGGCATGGGAGCTGTTATCACTTCATGAATGTATGTCGGGGTTAGATCGGGATTCTGCAAATCTGTAAGGGCTTGCAACCGTCCAAAGGTTTCCAGACGTCTGTGACGCCCTCTGGGCCTGTCAACAGCCGAATGAGAGCAGTAGCGACTTCCCTCTTGTTTCGGATTTTGTTCCCGGAGGACCCCCCTGAAATTTGTATCTGGAAGTCTGCAAGTACGGCCAAACGAGCTGATCCAATGTGATTCGGTCACTGGATGGGTTCGCAGCCCAGTTGACGCTGTCCAGAATGCCGCTGCTTCGTCTTATCTTGCGGCGGAATAAAAGGCTTTCTATAACCTCGTAACAGAAAGACAACAATTCCTGAGAAGACATTGGGTGACTTGGAAGCACGCCGAAGACCATTAAAGCACACGGCAGGACTCTGAGAAATGCATGTTCTTCTGAAAAACATCCGACAAGAGGCATCTAGCAACTGTAGCTTGAATTGTCCTGACGTTCGTGCAGTTCGAAAAGCTAGTTCTGCCCGTTATCTGGAGTTTCGGACCAGTATACATGGCATCTGCTCATCATCGACAAGCCAGATCACCAACCTTCAACCCTTTCATGTGTGTTCAACTAGGTCAACAAAAAGTATCCACGAAGAAAATCTGCGGCATCTTTGGTAGTTCGGAGTACTTTGGCATCTCTTCAGGTTGCACCCCTGCGAGCCCTAGTGGACATGTATGAGGCGAGGCACTTCACCCACCTCCTTCATGTAAAACTTCTCCCATGTCCACCAGTCTGGAAGATCCCAGAAGTCCATTGGTGCGCTGGTGACCAGGCCCTTGATATGTCAGCACATCACAATGTGGGGCGTATCAAAGCTATGATTTCCTTCCTCCCTGTAATGTGGAGGCTGAAATCTTGGGGGGCAGGTACGGAAACCTTCATTCTGATAAAATCATCTTACTGGGCGTAATTAAGTTGATCTCATACTAGTGATCCGCTGGAGTCGCATACTGTGATTCTAGCTTTATCCGGCTCCATCCGACAGGCAGCGGTTGATCCTTTCCACCTCACATTAGTATGTCCTTCTACCAAAAAAACTCTGCCTTGATCAGAAAAAAACTCAGCAAAGATCTTCACGCAAGATGCCATTTCGAGAGGTCTCGAGGTACAACTTCAAACAAGCGGCATTGCCCCCATCCATCTTCACGAACCTCCGATTGAAGGGGGCTCATTTGTTCGGACCTTGAGAAGAGAGCTACGAATGACAGGTAAAGGAAGGGCCGGTTCGTCACACATCAGCTCCCTCAAGTGGCATACAGAGAAACAGCGAGCCAACCTGAACATCATCACTGTCATTAGCACTCAGGAGCGGGGTCCTCTTCCAAAGCCACCCTTATTACCAAGACTAATGTTATTACCACCATGACACGCCCCAAAGTTTGGAGCAGCCGGCACTTGCGGCCTGCTGTAAGCATGCCTGCCATTACCCATGGTGCCTGCCTATAATCACGGAATGTGCGCTACACTGCCACATGCAATGCCCTGTGGAGTCTTGAGCCTACTAGCAAAGCCAAGCCAGGACAACAAAACACACTGCTCCTAAGTCATGTCCCTCCATCCTCTTTTTACTCAGAATGGCTGCTCAAAGCTCTTCAATAACACCTTGCCTGCGGTGTGCCGTGTTGTAGAGGGCAATGTTGCCATTCCCCATCTGCATCACCTTGAACCTCTCCCAGGTCATGCCTGGGTGATGGCAGTCGTGTGTGGCTTAGGATTGACGGTTCCTTTATTCCAGCCTTGTATGACACCCGTGTCCAAGTCAGACCTTCAATTACGGCTTGATGGTACATCATCTTCTGGATTCCTCATCACGCACAACTTCTGCATGAACCCGATCTCTCGACCTGCTTTAATAGACCTTATGAAGTCAGATGCTAAATCATGAGAAGGCAAAAACAATTAAGGAAGGGCCCAGCTGCCCTCTCTGAGGTGATGCCAATCACAAGGACCGCTCGCATCCATTCTGCGATTCCGGCTAAGGATTTGTGAGCTTGGGGTTTGTGGTTCAAGGCTTTCGGGTTGAACGGCCCGCATCTCTGAATCACAAACAGCAGGCTAAAGCAGTCAGGACTAGGAAATCATGGCCGATGAGTCCTTCTTCCGCTCTCCTGAAACCCGAACCCAGGGACCCACCCGTCCTTCCCTGATTGTTCATGCGTAGAAAACGGTTCCACTGGGTGTTGTGGAAGGCGACCTCGCCATGTCCGGCCATGATGGGAACCCATCGTTCCCAATCCCAGTCGCCAGGGAAGGGATCCTTCCAGCCCTTCTTTGACTTCTCAACATTCTTATCTTTGTCCATTCCTTGGCCACGAAAGGTGATACAATCAACAGATCACATGCTGCAGGCGCGAGTGTTGGTCCACCCCAGGAACATCCCAGCGGTTACAGAATTGCCCAAACCCATGCTCGCTCAACAACTCAACCTTGAAGCTAGACTACTAAATCGAGCAACGAAACATTCGCTGCTAGCACCAAGAAGCGAATATAATATTTATGGGCGTCGTTCCACAAGAAAACCGTCTTGGTGATGAACCAATAAGAAAATGCCGGGGCCTTGGTGCTCGTATCAGCTTCGACAAGATCTGTGCAATTCCACTATCTTGTGAAAGATTACCATGGGGGGCTGTATGTAGCCTCAGGTGCTGTAAGAACCCCAGACAAACACGCAGAACACGCTGAGGACTTGCTTTTAGCTAGATGCAGCGTGGAGGACTTAAGTTAAATCTAGCCCTCCTTGGCCCTCTGCATGTTGTAAAACAACAGTTTGCATTGGCTGGGGCCTCTCATTGGCACTTCATGTTCGCCCCTGCATCATGTGGACGACGTGGCGAAAACCATCCTCCACACTCCACACCCCGCCACCGCCATCAAGCCCTTGAATTGCGAACGCGCATTTGAAGACCCTCAGCCGCGTCTGCTCCCGCCCAAGTGAAGCCATGAGAAGACCCGGGCAAGCAGGCTTGCGCTTACCGTTGCAACTGGGCTGAGGCGGCAACCTGCGAGACCTCCTGGATGTAAAACTTCTCCCATGTCCACGAGGAAGGGATACTGTTGACACTGTTGCGACTGATGGTGACAACAGCCTCGGACTTTGGAAGCACCACTCTACAGGAAACATCTCATAATCCCTTCGTGCAGGCGTGTCTCCGTCTTGCTTCCCCCAAAATGCTGGAATAGCAGAGCTGGTTCGATATGACTGTCATGCTTATCAGAGACAGGGATACTTGACCCCAAACGGGTGGACCTCCAGGCAGCAGTTGAACTTGAAATAAGCAGCATTGCCATGGTCCATCTTCATGACCTTCTTCCAGGCTTGGTTAAACAGTGCGAAGTGGCCATTGCCCATGTCCTGGGTCAGGGATTACATGTTTCTGCATCATTACTAGCGTATTTCAGTAGCTGTAGACTTGTGGCTATATTAACTGGCGCAGCTCCTAAACAAACCTCCGCTTAAGCCTGTCCAGGAACTTTCAAACTCTCAGGCCCAGCCCTGACCCAGTCCTTCAACTTGAACCGCTCCCAAGTCCAGTTGTCGGGAATGAAGTCTTTGCTGCACTCGTTGCTCCTTTCTGTCAAAGAGCCTCTTAGAACCCTCTGAACGGCAATCGTGTCGGCATGAAACCAGAACTTTCAAAAGACATGGGGGGGGATACGTTTATCAGAGTCCTTACGAAGAGACTTCCATTTGTTGGCCATACCCGTGAGGGCCAAAACTTTGACAACGATGTGAGGCTTTAAATGACTAGGGGGTCATCTGAACACACTCGGTGCTCCTGTCCATTACCCCGTTGTTCAGGCGCAGGAAGCGGTTGTGCTCCGTGCTGTGGAAGGCAAGCTCCCCGTTTCCAACATCCACGCATACGAATCGTTCCCACGTCCAGCTGTAGGGCATGTCATTCTTCCATCCCTTAGCACCTTTCTCAATCCGGGAATTGGACATTCCTTGGCCAAACATGCACAATTGAGGAATAGCCTGCGAACCTGTGGGTATCCGGCATTCTGTCATGGAGAATGCAGTGCAAAGCCTGTCTAGTGACCCAGGAAGGAACTTGAGAAAGCTCCCGCAGACCGTTTCAGACAATTATCGCAGTTTACCCTATCACGTCAGGCAACGGATGTAGTGTTGATGAGCATGATTCCAGAGGGCGACCGTCTTCCCCACGCACCAATGAGCAGCAGCCTTGGACTTGTGGGTCCATGTCGACTAACTGCGTCTCCGTACTTGCAATTCAAGATAGGCCTTTGCCCACTGCGGCTGTGTGTCAATGAATGCTACTGAGTAACGGCAACAAATCTATCAGGACCTGAATGTACTATCAACCAAAAAACCCTTATCCTTCAAAGGGGGCAATCGTGAGAGGTGTACTCTTATGCAGCAACTACGGGGCGCGTGGGAAGCCAAAGGACAACCGTCACCGTGACCTACGCTGATGAGGACTCCCATTGGTATCACAATTGTAACTGCGATGACAAAGTCATGTTACATTATTAGCCTTGTTACTGAGAGAACTGCAAATGACGCAAACCAATTAGGTGGGATGTGGGTTGGACAGCTGCTTCCTCCGCTCCGGATGCCGCAATTATCACGGGACGAATACTCACATGGGAAACCCAACACAGCGTGCCATGAAGATGACGGCTTCTTGCAGGCTTGGGACAGACGCATTCAAGCCAACCGCGGACAGCGGCGTGCTCGGCAGGGCCTGTGCAGTCTTGGGATAACAGATACTTATCAAACTTTTTGTCCGGTTGCCCTGCGCAATGGATCCTTCTGGTCCGAGCATTATGCGGATGTGGCGCGCGCGCCTACTTTGACGCTGGTTACTCAGAATTGAAAGGGCACATGTAAGCCTTGGGCCAGAGGTCCTTGACCAGGAGTGGCCAAGCAACACAGCTGGCCCTAAGAAAACAACCATCCGACCATCCGCGGTGCTAGTTAATCCTAAGCCCAGCTGCCCACTGCAAGCTGAGCAGAAAGGTGTGAGGACGCTCCACGCAAGAGCCAATCTCAAGAAAATAGGATGCTGCGTGCGGGAGCTCGATTTCGTATCAGACGGCTCCATGTGAGAGCTCGATTTCGTGTCAACATGTGAAAGCATTGAATGCAGGAGCACGATTTCATGCAAGCATGTGGAGGTGTTCCAGCCAGAGCTCGATTTCGCCAATTTTTAAGCATGTTGCCAAACATGGGCGAGGATGAAAGATCTAGCTTGATGCATTAATGTTCTTGAAAGGATTTGCCTAGCATTTGCGTTTGGTTTCAATCAATGGTGGCAGGATGAGGGTGGCGCGGCCCGGCCCCATTTGCAAAACATGCACGCAGATGAGAAATGCGGCGTCTTGTTACATTGTTGATAGGATGTGCTCAGCATTGCGTTTCCTACAGGGAGGAGGGAAGGGAAGGGGAAGGAAGGGAAGGGTAAGGGGAGGGCATCCAACCCTTTCTGAAAAACATTGACGGAGATGAGACAGTGGACCTTCTTGCTAAACAGTTGACAGGGTTTGCTCGGCATTGTGTTTGCTTCCAAAACAGCGGGAAGGGGGTTGGGCCAGCAGAGCCTCCCCCACTTGCAACACATTAAGCGAAGAGGACAACATGTGACTGCTTGCTCAGCTTTCGTTCGGATATCAACTTTGTGTTTTGAAGATAGAGTTTGCTTCTAAAAAAAGTTGGGGTTGGGGGGCACAGCCGCCACATTTGCAACACATCGACGAAAACAAGAACATGTGACTTCTTGCTGAGTTTCTTTTATGCAATTAGTCCTCAAACAGCGCGGAGGGGGGTTTGGCCGGGCATGGCCCCCCTAATGGGAAAAACATGGACGATGATAAGAGTGTGTAGCTTTTTGTCAAATCTTTGTTTGAATTTGATCTCTTTAGTAAGATAGCATGAGGGTTCGCAGCCCTCCAACAACAAAACACGGGCTGACATGAGAACATGCCTTCTTTCTGAGCTGGTGATAGGATTTGCTTAGCACTTGCGTTTGCTTCTCCCGCATTGGGACACATGTATCGGTCGAAAGAACAGCGGGGTGCGGTGGCAGAGGCGCAGCATGAGAAGATGTAGGTGCTTACCAAGCTTTGCTTGGATTGATAAGCATTCCTGGTCGCATCTTGCATCTTCAAATGGTGAGGGGGTTTTGGGACACTGCCCCGCATTGGCAAAACCTGGTCAAAGATGAGAATGTACTACCTGGGCTTTTCGGAAAAGTTGTGCTGTGACGGACAAACCAACCGACCAACCGGGGAAAACCGACCTAACGGGACGACCGACCAATCAAGCCAGAGTCGACAAATTCAACAAAGCACACCGACCGGGAGCAGGCCAGGCAATACAGCCAGCCGAGGGAAAAAACCACAAACCTATCACTGGGGAAGAACGACCAAGCGAAGGGGGACGACCGACCTGTGGACCTTGACAACGAAGCGGGTACGACCGACTGACCGATCGAGCGACGGGAACGGCTGAACGACCGAATGAGAGGCCAAGCCAGACCTGCTCCAATGAGACCGAAAGGACAACCGACCTGACCAGGCAATACAGCCAGACTTTGGAGAGAATTGGCACTGGGCAAAAACCTAGAACTCCCTCACAACACATTTTGATGCAAACGCTTCTTGCCTGCGCATGCTTGATGTCTGTCGATGCTTGCTGCTCCGTGAACTCAATGTGCTCCTGCAGAGTCCACGCGTAGTGTTAATCAGGGTCCTTCATGTCCTACTTTCAGTCGCACACACACACACAATCATCTGGGCTGCACTGGCCCCGACAGGAGTGCCAAAGCGTTGGATGGCACATCATGTTGATGAGACAAGTATCCTGGGAGACAAAATCCATGAGAAGTGATTTTGCTTGCATGCCTAATTGGTTAGGTCGGTGCGATGGAACCATGATATGATCCACAACACATGCCATCGTGATTCAAGGTCCTACCGCCTCACAGAAACCATCCATTTGTGCAAAGCCTGTCCTCCATGTCATCGTCATCATGGTCGCTCAACTCAGACAGGTCCTGTTCACTGCGAGCTTCATGCGGTCTTGCGTGGCTAAGTCACCACAGGCAACACGGCTGGTAACAGAGACGTTCACTGCGAGCTTCAGTATTTGGAAGAGATTGCGCTCTTTGCTGTTGCCTCAATGTCGTGTGTGCTGTTTGATTACCATCAGTCAGTAGGTACCATCTTTGTTGTCGGCGTGTACCTCGAAGGTTGCCGCGGCTATGAGTCCGTTCTCGTCATGAATATTCCATTCCTATCACAGCCTGATGGCTGTTGCGGCGCAGCGGCCACTATCAAGCAGGCATATGCCTAGGTGGGGTTCTACATGCCTGAGCATCACGTATACTTAAGATGGGGACCTCCAGAAAGCAACCACGATTTTGGCGCATATCCATGCGAGTACGTGTCCTCAATCTTCAGATGCCCTTGCGTCAGCGCCATCCTCTGATGCTTCTTTTCGGTCTTGTGCTCCTGCATAGCCTTTGCGAACTTCAGAAACCTGCGCTCTTCTTAACATACAACCAGAAAAATGAGCCTACATTCCTGACTAGGCTTAAGCAGCAAGAAAAATGTGAGTCCAACCCATGGCCAATCTGGGAACTCCACGTGGTCGATCAAACGGAATGCCTTTTCGGGATCGGTTGTGGCCTTGTCCTCCATAAAGGGTAGGATGGTGTCCATCACAGCTTTGCGGCCTCTTGTCAGACGGGGTAACATAATAATGTTAAAGAACCCAAGAGAGGTGCTATGTCCTGTAGGAAAACTGATGCTAACCTTGCGAGCCCACAGATGACAGCACTAGATACAGCAATTATACTGCTGCCATTTAACCCGGCCCTGACCGAAGATCTGCATCAGGGATGCAAGGTCTTGACCCTCCCCCTAGAACAGGTCAGATTACCATTCTTCGTGTGATGGGCTGTTGTCATGTACTGGAGCCTTTATGAAAAAGTTCCGATCTCCAGGCCTCGCATCGCATAGGCCGTAGCCGCCTGCATGGAGGTGGACATCACGTTCTCGTGGTGGAACAAGATATCTTCAGAATGATGTTCAGAGATGAATCGTTGCACCCGAAGGTCCAACCTGGATTGCAAACCAGAGGATGCAACCCAATGTGTGGAGACCTTGTCAGGAGCCTCCGCTGTTTCTGAGTTTAAGACTCAACAAGAAGCATTGAAGGCGAGCATTTGCTGGGGTCAACTGGCACCCTGGCTCGGTCTGGCTTGAGATAATTCATGGTCTAATTACTCCAGCTTAGGCACAGTGAGAAGAATCCTTCTGATGATTCTGCTTTAGCTCTGAATCCTAAATCTTGCACCCTACGCCATACTGCGATGAACCCTGAAGCCTCAAACACCTTAGCCGCAACCTTATCAGAGCCAGGCGGCTTGACGCGCTGGCGGATCTCGAAATGCAGATGAGCCACTGCTCCAGTCTGGAAGAGCGCCTCCAAGAAAGTTCAGCGCAAGGGGTTCCTTGCTACTGGAGTCCCGAATGATTGCCCGAAGTACTGTAGTCCCGTGAGAAGGATGTCCAAAACTCAGGGTGTGGACCAGCGCGAAAACTTCCAAAACCCACAGTCGCAAGCTGAACTTGGCGCTTACCAGGAACTCACCCAGGCTGATTTGTCAATATGCTAAGTATCTATCAATTTGCAGTCTGAGCTTTGACTGCAATAACCCCCGGGACCCCAACCGAAAACAAACCCATAGCCAAAAACTCCTAAATCAAAAGCTCTGGACGTCAACCATAAAGCTCAAACCTTACGTTCTGAAAGGGGGGTTGTTGAGAAACCCATGGGCCATGCTCTGCTTGTGCGAGGCCACGAAGACATCAAACAGGTTGGTCGGATCACACCTTGTAGGAGCTTTGGCTCTTTGGCTTTAGAGTTGTGTACTTTTGCGGTAATGCCGGAAGCAATCATTAATCCCAGTGTTGCTTTGCATATTCTTTCGGACTGCCAAAACAAGTGGAGACTTGAGAGGCAAGACACGGAAGTCTGTCGCAGACCGGACGCCACAGCTTTTCCAGCTGCTTGGCAGTCGAGTACATGGATGAGTTCATAGTATGAGCATCCAGGATGCGGTGGGTGGATGCTGTTGCATGATGAAGCGCAGCTGACAGCGCCAACGTTTCCTGGGCTTTCTCATGCAGTTTGCCGATGCTGTCAGGCTGTCAGGCTTTGGTGGCTGCGTTGAAGGAACACGGCTATTAAAGCCTGAGGTGAAAACTAAACCACCGTACTTCTGGAGCAGCCCAGTTTCGGCATGCGCGGAGCCGTGCGCAGCCTTTGCCTGACTTGTCATCAAAGCTTCCAGAAACACAACTTCTGCCTCATGACCCACAAAGCAATTTCAACTGCACCCACCTCCTTCTGCACCAATGAAGGCGCCGCGAGGGAGTGTGAGTCAGCCTTCAGGAGAGATTAGCATGTCACAGCCGCTGCCACAAAACAAAAGGCACCTCCAGTCAAGAGGCCTTTAAAACACTACAGCCCTGCATCATCCCCAACCACCTCCAAACTTTGCATCCGACATCCTACCCCCCCAGAGCCCACACAGCCCAAAGCTGTATTCTCATGGCACCTCTTGCAGGCCATCGCAGCGGAACTCTGCGGGAACAGTTTGGTCGGCTTCGTCATCACCCTCTGCCTGAAGTTCCCACGCAGCCGAAATGGTGTCCGGGTGCCGACGTGTGGGGGCTTCAGACCTATGGTTCCTGCTTAGCTCCTGTATTCTGTCAGAAAAGCAAAGTTCACAACTACCTGAGTATCTTAAAACAAACGACCTTGCAGCAAGGCCCTCGCTGATCCCTAATAAGCGAATCCGAAGAAACAAACCTCTACCATGCTGAACACGGACTTCCCCGCAAAGCTAATCACACCCGGGCAACACACAAAAACAAGAGGATCCTGATGAATGTCTTATGATGCCACCGTATGCCACCTAAAAAACGAATTTGGAAATTTTAGGAACCCCACTACCCTCTGGCAACCTGCATGGGAATTTCTGAAAGGCGAATATGTAGGGGACTTACACGGGGACGGGGGCTTCTTTAAGGAGCTTCCATTTCTCTCCATTATTCCAATTCAATCCGTGTATGTCCCTACATGTCCCTTTAAGACCCACGTGAGCCACGGTCTAAACTCTTGGTATTCCCTTAATATCCCCTGTAGCAATCCCCTATATAACTCCCCTCAAGGGAGTTTAGACCATAGCTCACATCACCTCCAGAAAAGCCGCAATGAGGACTGTCCGCAGGTTCGGCCATGTAATCTCCTCAAAGCGCGACACCTCACAGATTCGGATGTTGAGTTTAGCGGTTGAAGGTTTAGGGGTTCGAGGTTTGGGTTTGAGGATGTTGAGTTCCTTGAGAGTTTGGGCTTTGGAGTTTAGGATGAAGAGTTTGCAGGGCTTTGGGAACGTGAAGAGGTTTTGACCTTTCCCGACTTCCCGGTCGTAGAATGCAACTACTAAGTACCACTGAGATAGGTACGAAAGCCCTTAACCTTCAACTCCTTTCGGAGTTCGCGCCAACCCTTTCAAACCTTTGAAAGGAACCCGCCTGCTCCGTGATGGACGAGAAAGCTTCCATCTCAACCTCCTCTTCCTCCACAGCCTTTCATTTCTGAGGTGTTCATGGCTCTAGAGGTTTTCCAGTTGACACTCTGCCGGTCCCAGATTCTTCCCGCTTCACAGACTTGGGTTTTTGGAAATCCGATTGTTGGTTGTTCGCTTCGGGAGCAGGGAGCAGGGCCTTCTGCAGGATGCATGTTGCGATGGTGATGCACTCCATGATCGTAGCCTCGTTCCGGAACGGGCAGTGCCTTGGCGTCAAAGCTCATTGCCGAAATTCAGGGGTCCCCTTACATACCCGCAGGTAAGAGCGTGGTGTTTTCTGTGTTGTGTTTTCGAAGTTGTGGCGCGGGTGTTTTGTTGCTGCCGTGGTTCTTTTTTGCTGTTCTGGCGTTTTTTGTTTGCTGTCGTGGAGGGGCGGCGTTTTTAGCTATTCTTCCCCCCCAAGCGCCCGGGATGCCCAACAGCAAAAAATGAAAATAAAAAACGCCACAGCAGCTCCCCCCCCATCCCAGAACCCAACAGCGAAAACAACAACACGCCCCAAACATGCCAGGGCCAGGAATCCCACCCCATCTACGCCGGCATTAAGAGCGGAAAAATGTGCCGAATTCGACGGCAGGTCTGCATTTGACGAAAATGTGCCGTCAAAAACGATGACAATTTGTTTTTACGAAAGGAGCACATGGGAATGTGGTGGCAAAGCAAAAAAAACTCCTCGCGTGAGCGAGTCGCGAGGCAACATCGCACCAAGAACAATGACAGGTCTGCGCTACACGACCCTCAGCCTTCTAAAAATGGCGACAAGCACACGCACAGGACTGCGGCAGGAGCGCGATCAGGATACCAAAGGGAGGACGCTGCAGAGGAGAGCACAGTTTCAAACGGGCGAAGAGCTTGGAAAACGCCCGGCTTGCAAACAACCTTTGCAAACGTTGGCATGGTCATTCACCAGTCATTGGAGCATCCCCCGAAGCATTCAGGGTGAACTCTGTAAACGCCCATTTTACTAGGCAAAAACGCGGAGGCTAACCAAAAAGGCTCTGTAAAATGGGCGAGCCCGGGGCTTAACATGAAAACGAGATCTCTACAAAATGAGGGTCACAGGGTGATTGTTGAGAGGACTGTTGAGGGCTGAGGCATGGTTTCATCATAGAAACTTGTCTCATCTCCTGAGTATCCCCTTCGCAGAAGCATACCATGTGAATACCATGTTGAAGGATGTTGAAGGATTGCGATGGTCTGCAAGGTAAGTTCATCTTGTTACACATGCTACTGCATGGGCACTGCAACGCAAACTGGGCTTAAAACTGATACATTTACAAGATACTGTAAAATGGGGGAACCCACTCCTGGAAGTACTGTAAAATGGTGAGCCTACACCCCCTCAAGCTACTGTAAAATGGGAGAACCCACGCCTGCGTACTGTAAAATGGGGTGCCTAGAGCCCTCAAGCTCTCTCCCCTGTGAAATGAAGGCCGCCAGAGTCATCTCAAGGATCAAGCAAACCGTTTTGCTTGGACCCCCAGCACCCGGGTCCCCCGTTTCCATCACAATGGTGATGAAAAAGGGTGGATGTTGGAGCAAGGTTTGGCGCCAAGGCTTTGAGGTCTTTGCCGAGAAGGTGATTTGGTGCTGCTCTTTTTGGGCTGGCTTGGCCCACCTGCAAAAGAAGACAAGTTTGCATAGCCTTAGAAAATCAGGGGGTTGGGAGGGGCGCAGCCCCGCCCCCTGCCCGCAAATATAGTGATCACATGTCGCGCTGACTGCGCAAACCTTCTGAAAAAAGCGGAGGCGTTGCAGTTGCGGGCAGCCCATGTGTGAACAGAACAGGTTAGAAGAACGCCTGAAGATAGACACGTGCAGCAATCTTTTGTATGGTTTCAGAAATGGAGGCTTGGGGGGAGGCCCCAATCGCAAACAAAATGATAAGAACTTATGATCATCGCGCCAACCTTTTAATGAAGCGGGGAGGGTTGAGGCGCTGTTTGCGAAAAAAATCACAGGTTAGACGACCGCTTAGAGATACGAGCTTGCAGCCGAAAAAAAAAGAGGGCGGTTGGAGAGGCGCCACACCCCCCCACTGGAAAAAAAAAGATCCGACAATTCAAGGACTCTGCATGGGAGAGCTTCTTTATGCTTGAATATTCCAGGACGCTCTTGGCATCAGCTCAATTTGGGGCGTCAGGGCAATCCTAGATCCCCCCACACGGGAGGGTAGAGCCAAAGTGTGCAAACGCTCTATATGAGGGCATTTTGTGCGAAAATGCAAGAACGCTTCATGCGAAAGCTGTCTAAATTCTTCTCCAGAGACCTCAATGTTGATCCAAATGCGAGGATGCTCCACGCCAAAGTATGATTCCAATTGAAATGTAAGGACCCTCCACGCAAGAGCTCGATTTGGAGGAGTATGCGGGGACCCT